TAGTTCTTGATTACTTTTTGATAAATAATTCGTTCTTATTGCGAAATAGGAGCACTATTTATCAATCTGTAATAAAAGAGGTGAGGAAATTCTGTTCTTTTTTAAAGACAAAAATTTTTGAGGCGAAATACCCAAAAAGAAGTTTGTAAAAAAATATTATCCTCATCACACAAAACTATAATTTTTATTTAGTAGTAAAACGCGACATTAACTACCTATTTACTATCTCGATACGATATCTATATGTCAAGCTGCTACAGTGGGTAATAAAAATATGAAACTCTCCAATATTCTGTTGTGTATTTATTTAAAATTATTAATGTAATTGAGTTTACCTGATAAAGAAACAAACAAGCGGTTTATGGAAGTGTTATAAAACTCACAATAAACCTTATCTATGTTTTTAGATTATCTTATCGGAAATTACAGGTTGTACTTAATACCTGTAATTTGTAATATTTTTGCAATAACTGTATTTAATTTATGCTCAAGTTGACTACAACTGAAAAAACCGTATTCGGTACAAAAAACACTTCTGAAATCGTGATAACAAAATGTCAAACTTTTTCTCAAACTTGTTTAGTGGCACTAAAAGTAAGAGCAAAAAAGAGAAAAGCAAGGAAACGAATCACGACAATCACCTGACAGAGGACGGCCAAGAAGCAGAAAATTTACCAGTGCTCAACAGAAGGTTGTCCCTATCTAAGAGTGGAAGAATGAAGGAGAAGAAGCGGTCCAATATATCGGTAATGCAGACTAATCTAGACGGAAGTTGTAAGGAGACGAATAACCGAAAACCATCTCTGGTAAATAATGAGGTGTTTGATATCGAAGGCATCGAACGTGCAGAAAAAGAGGCGAGCCATCAACAACTCCATTAATGTGTCATATTTTACAAGGACCAAGTATTGTGCCCTGTGAAACTGAGACTAAAGATATGATTTAAAAGTGTGATATGGGAAAAGTGTATATTATTTTGCCTGGTGATGTTCGACTGGTTATACTTCGTTTTATATGACGTAGCGGTTAAGATTGTTTTTGCTGTAATGATCCATGTGAGTAAAACTTAAATATACTATTTGGTAATCAATAATAATAAACTCTTGTATTATTATTGCATATGGTGCATCGCTTTCATAACTAGCAATGCTATAATATACTATTTGAAGCATGCTGTGCTATAACATACGCATAAACTCATATACATAAAAAATATGAAAATATATGTCAACTTTCTTAAAATAGGCATTATTATGTAACATCAAAAATATACGTAGATGTCAAGAGTTAATACGTTTTTCTGACTTTAATAGCTCAATACCAAACGTGTTTCTCTAAATTTGGTATTTTTTGTTAACAGAATCGCAAAAAAACAATAATGTTAAGCATAGCACCTCAAGTTAATTTATATAAACTTATGATATTATGAGCTGCAATTTAAAATAAAGTGACTGTTTCAAATAATTTTCTTTAAACAATAAACAACTATGGGCATAATGTTGAGACATAAATAAGGACATTTACCTTATTTCGATATTGGTTAATACCGAATGGGGATGAAGCAAGATGATACTTACATTCATTAACTGGAACCGCTGCTCATCCAATCTGAAAAAAAAAACATAGTTCTTAACAAAAACATTTTTTTTTTGGGTATTTAAAATCGAGTTAGCTTTTCTCGATTTATGCGGCAGCAAAATAAGGAGTCGCTCTATTGGTTGAGCTGCTATAGCCTGAGCAATTTGTTGGTTGAATACCTTAATAACGAGGCAATATTTATATGAGAATTTAGCATTAATATCTAAACTGGTCGGAGAGTAGTCCTTAAAATGATTTAGTCGATTATCGACTACGATTTAATAATCGAGAACGGGACTGAAACTGTGCATGTAAACAGCAGTTTTTCAGTGAAAGTTGCATAACTATTATAAAAAAAATATTTGCAATGAAATGCAGATGCATTTGAAATAAATACTCCCACTTAAATGGTGTGTTACAGGCAGCTGAGCTATAGTGAAAATCAACCTTTAAGTCGCTGCTCGGAGTCGGTAGATGGCATTTTTGCAACATTTTCCGCCGTTAAGCCGTTTTCAAAAAATGCTTCCTTGTGCGCCAAGAGATTCGTTTCGTAGCAATGTTCTCAGCGAGGTTTAGTTTCAAGTCTGTACACACCGCTTCAATCGCAAATAATTTATCCAATAGCACAATTAACTTACCTGAAAACACTCTGATCATAATATAGCAGAATTCTCAACGAATGATCTGCTACTCGTCTTTTTGTCACGTGATGTGGCTCCACAAAAGTATGCAGAACCTGGAAATAAAAATGTCGAACTGAAATTATATTGTTTGCTCAACTTCAATTAGCAATGTGAAACACGCAGGGCCCTGCAACAATTGGTCAGGGCTGGACACCTTTTAAACTAATAGGTTTATGAATATCGTTCGGGTGTTGATCCCGTATGATTGTACTAATGGGAAGGTTTATAATCCCACCATTAGCGTTTGCCTCCCGGACCTACCGATTGGACTCGTCAGTAAGGTTTAGGTAGAGCCTGCCTTAATAGGCCAAGCAATAGAGATGAAATAAAAAAATAATAATAGCATTCTTTAAAAAAACCCTATCAGAAAACCATCTACACCATTACGTGCGAGGCAGTCCGTACTTCATTATCAGTCTGTTTTGGGGGAAAAATGTTATTTGTTAGTTTTTTATAAACAACGTTCTTTTTAATTTCTTGCTTGTAAAATCGAAATGATTGAAGCAAACGGTTGAATTATAGCTTCTTGAATTACGAAGAGAGTGAGATGTCGATAATTAGAACCGGAAAAAAGTCGGAAAATTCTAAATATGGATTTGGAAACTAAACATGAGTAGCAACAAAACTTATATTCCGGTTTTTCGTGTTTTAAGTGGATGAAAAACAGAGTCTTGAATAAGAGTGAAAACGGCCGAGCGGGCAAAAGCGGTCCAGTGGTGGGACTGAGAGGGGGACGGGGAAGGGACGCTCGCCGTTTTCACTCATATTGCAGACTCGATAATTTTTCTAATTTCATAGACAACAAAAACCTGAATTTCTCCATCCATGGTTCACTTTCTAAAAAGGTCATTTATTTCTATCTAGAATGATCTACAAATGAGCGTTCTTGCTCATTTTGCCACCGAGAAATGAGCAAAAACGGGACGAAAAACCTGGAATTTTGGCATAATCTTGTACCGAAGTGTCTGATATTCAAATTTCGCTTTCTGGGTCAAAACTACTCGAATTTCCTCACTCACGTTGTTACGACTGAATCGACTTTTCAATTCT